GATGAGTTCCACAGCAGACTAGTCATTCGATTTAAATATTTTTAAATAATATTTTAAAGTTCCAGTTGTAATAGTAATTTTCTTGCTATGGAACTTACTTTGCCTAAATTTTCTGTGCAATAGATATATAAATATGGATACTATGGCTTTCTTTTTGATAAAAAGAAAAATGTGTGTAATGACTAAGGAATGGTAAAAAGTGGAAGCCACAACAAGCAAAAAAATTGATTTTTAAAATCCACTAGTGATGCAGTTATATGTCATATATTTAGAAATAAAGATGTATACTTTACATTGGTACCTATTTTGAAGTTAAAAAATAATTCTTTTTAACTTTACTTGGAAATATATTACGCAGAAAATAGCAAAATGAAACCATGCGTGGGAATGTTCAGTAAAAGTACTTATGAGATAGTCAAGTAGAATTTTTTAAAATTGTAATGCCATTGTCTAATAAGAGAAAAGAAGTTTCACGTCTCTCACTACTAATTTTTATATTAGCCGTCATCTTCATGTACAGAGCAATCAGACGATTGTTCAAAAACCAAGTAATTCTTTCTTTTATTACTAAATTGCTGCAACACAAGAAAAGGTCACATGGTAGAGTGGCATTCTGCCAGTGTATGACAACTCAGTGATTGCGATTTTTCAACCGTATTATTCTGAGGACACTGTGGTAATCAAGAACTATCCATAACTAATGTATAAATAACTGTTTGCTTATCTCTACAGTAATCTAACTCAAATTTTATAGACACAGCAAAAAGCTTATGATAGAAGGTAGGAAATGAATATTTAAAGGTATATTATACATTAGATATTTGTGTGTAAATATGTTTATAAAAATAGTTTGTGTGTATATATATATTATATATTATATATTGTATATATAATATATATATATATATTCTTAAGAACTTTGTAACCTACAAGTTTGTGACTATTATTTAGTACCTAACATGATCTTTGCCTTCTGAAGCTACTTTCTACTTTGTAAAATAGTTTCCTTTTGATCCATGTTGTTCATCTGTAAATCACTGTGTATATGTGACTTTTTTAGTCAGACACATTAGTTTGCATGAATATGACATTCAAATTGGAAAGCCGACCACTAAACAGTCTAATTTCCACACCTTTCTTTAGAAAATTACATAAGACAGTTAAACTTAAAAATCATAATGGATAAAATATTCAGCATAATTGTAACATAGCTACTCTTTTTTTGTTTAATCAGAGATTTTGCCATTAAAAGTTATTTTCTGAATTATTACCATAGCCATAATATTTTTATATGGTATGAATTTTCTTTGAAAGTTTTATAACTACCCTGAGAAATAAATGAGACAGGAATGACTAATCAGGTAAAGAATTGTTTCAAAGTATGTCAAAGACTATAAAGATTTTAAAAAGACTTAGTTCATTCTAACTTTAGGTATGCATATGTGTATGGATATACATATGTGTGTATATACACATTTTTAAGCAAAAGCTATAAATTCACATTTACTTTAAGAATTGCCCTTAGTTGGCAGTTTAATTTATTAGAACCATTAGCATAATATGGTTATTATTTTTAAAATATTTCTGTCATCAACAGTTCTTTTTCTGAGAAGATTATAAACCAATCAACTATTCATAAAGAGCCTGGTTAGGAAAAGTGTCTCTTTAACAGAGTCATACTTCAGGTGTAAAGAAAGAAGATTCATATGTGTATCCACAAGAAAATATCTTCTAGCCGGTTTTTGTTGATGTTCCTCTTGTTTTTTTGTTTTGTTTTGTTTTGCAATCAGCTATTCTGGTTTCAATAATCCGATCTTTTGCAAAATTTTTGAGATCTTATTGGATTTTTTAAAGTTGTATCTCTAAAAATATGAAGATGGAGAAGACTCGACTTTTAAGGGGAAAGACATAGACTTTAGATTCTTGACATTTTTTGTTTTGTTTTAATTCCCTTTTTGCTCTATTACATAGAGGAGTGAAAGTTAGCAGCAAGTGTTTAGGTAAAAGATGGTAACAGACATCAGAAATATATAACCACAATGAAGTCTTCCTAAAAGCAGTTGCTATTAAATTGCTTTCTATCATACTACCAAGGTTCAAAGTATTCTTTTAAAAAGTGTTCTTGGTGAGTCTTATTGATTTTGACCACTGCTGTTCATTTATCAGTTTAACTGAGTTATGGCTCTTAATCACATCTTAGTGCCCAAAACTTCTAACCCGAAAAGAAAAAAAAGAGAGAAAACTTTGTTACTGGCTTTCTGACAATGGCAGGGAGTGTGTTAAACCAGTGTAAAATTCAATTAAACTGTCTAGCCAGGTTTTTGAAGCTGAAATGCAGACCCTTTCTGTTAAGCTTCTTATTTTCCTGTGACCGACACCGGTGGATGCTGGGTTATGCCAAAACCAACAGGCTGTAAAGTACCTTGTTTCATGCTCCCAGCTGATCAATATTTTTATTTTCCAGGCTTGCCCAGAAATCTGGAGGCAGTATCACCTAACAGTGAGTAGAAACACCTTTTTTATTTTCCCCAAGACCTAGCCTATTTACCCTTCTCTGAACTGCTGACCATAAAATATAGACAAGCATCTTCTACTGGAAGATAATAAACATCTGAAGAGTTTTTGCACTGAGAGAGCAATAATATACTTTTTCTATTCTCCCCTGCCTACCACTTTACCCTTTATCTTCCTGTTCTTAAAAGATTTGGTTGGTTTTTTATTACTCACATCATTTAATGATTGCATCATGTTATCTCTCAGTCTTCCCAGACTACATTCATTAAATTAAAGGCGGGCAAGTATGCTAGGAGCCATAAAAAAAATAATAGTAATCCAGTGTCTTTAAAATGTTGTATTATCTACAGTCCATAAACATATAGTCCACGATATCTTCCATTGTCATTTTTTCTGGCTTTACTGAAATATTTACATGTATATTTTAATAAAGCTAGACATATAGTTAATTCAACTGTCATATCCTTAAGCCCTTCTTGACTTATTCAAAGTATATAAATATGTGCTTAATACCCTTCAAGTTATTCAATTCTCTGGTTTCCTTTCATTGTGATTTTAGGCTAAGTAAAAGCAGAAAACAATTTAATATGGAACTGTTGACTGAAGCTCAATATTGTGAAGTCAGTTCATTTGTAACATTCAGCTTTATTAATTTCAATAATTCACCATAGCACTACTAGTCATTTCTATTAGTATATTAATTATGTTGTGTGGAGCAAGAAACAATAAAAATTACTCTTGTAATTATACAGTTATACAGTGTAATTAAAAGCTGCTTCTTAAAGTTTAACATACTAAAAAGTTTTATTTATAGGAAAACAGTAAAAATAGAAAGGGCAAAGTTTTTAAAAAACATGTGTTCTTACTGCTCTCCTTTTATGGAAATCAAAAGTAAACCAATAAATAGACTCATACTACCAATATGTTTGTCAAAGGCCCAAGAAGCAAAGAATCATATCAGATGGTTTGTTTCTACATTCTGTTATCACTGCTTAATTTATTTAAAGATTCTCAGTAGAAAGCTGTAATTCCTCAACTATCCCTCAATCCTAAATTGGATTTTGTTAAAATCTTTAGTGTTACCCCCACCAACATACACACACACCCTATATATATTATACATATGTTATAGATATAAATTATATGGCTACATTATATCTATGCTCATGTATCAGTTTTTTATCCTAACATGGTGAAATCCTTATAGCCTAAACTTGATTGGAATCCAGTCATATATTATACTTTCAAGATCACAGTCACTCTTTGTATACCATTTTTTTTAATCAGCATTTTTATTAAGTAATAGCCTAATGGATTTGACGTTACATTTCTTCTTCCCCCACCCCCCCACCGCCGAGAATTCCAGTCTTGAAAATTTGAAGTGTGGGAAATACTATTTTAATGACATTCTTTTCATTATCTGCACCTATGTTCTTTTATATAACTGACATAAAAGAATAGAAATTAGACTTTAGCATCAGATAATTGTTTGAAGGTTTATTTAAAATTATAGTTTTTAAAAATCATAAATTGTAAAAAGAATAGTTAGGAAAAAATAAATGTAACAAAATGAATTCCCTTTGGGGGAATTATAATATATTCTTTCTATAGGTATAACAATCACTTTGAAAAATCTATTTGTCTCTGTCTAGAATCCTGATTAATTTTCAAAATAATATTGTAACTATCACATTTCATAATTATCAAGTTTAAATTAGGAATTAGGGATTGGTTTACTATGCAAGTATAAATGCAAAACTTGTATATTTATAAACATGTACATATATATCAATCCATCTAAAATAAAATAGTTAAATAATTATGTATATAGGCAATATCCAAATGTGTGCAATTAGGCAGTATTTAATCCTGAATAAAAGCAAGATGCATGGTGAATTTAGCCATCTTCAGCTCTTTTACTAGGCGATGGACTGCCATCTATTGACTCATAGTAGCCCTCACACTCACACATGAATGTGGTATCAGTCAGAGCAGTGACTGAGTAATGAAGCCTGGGTTAGAATTGCTACTGGATATTCATTTAAACCAGTTGTCTTAAAACTCTGGAAATTTCTACACTTACTCATTGATTAATTTCTTTTCTAACCAAAAAGTGTCCATTTCTCACCCCAAAGGGAACTGTGTTTTTTGTGGGGAGAAATTGATTAGTATATTCAGTTTGGAAATGTTTACAATTGAGAACTTTTCAATTGTTTTTATCTGCCTTCCAGTAAGGAAAACTAGAAGAACATTTACACAGCCTAAAGTTTAGCAACTACAATTTGAGGTCCATCCAAGAATCACTTTCTTTAAAAAGAAAAAAGAAAAAAACTATAGGTCAGGTTAAACATATTATTTTTCAAACACATAAGAGAGAGAGTGAAGTTGATTCATATAAGTGGACTTGTGAAACGTTCCAAATCAAAAATTTCTTAAAACACATTCTAAAAGAATATTAGAGAAGAAACATGTTCAGTATTTTCAGCAATTTCATGAGATCAAATAAAGCCTCCTTAATAACGTGTATCTAAATAGAATAGCTTTTTAACTAAACTTGACTAGATTTCACTATGTTAATAAAAACTGACCATCATTCTAAAGGGTACATGCTAATAAAACTCTAAAACACTACCTATATATCCCTATAGATATGTTATCTGACTATGTCAGTTTTCTTGATATATTTTAATAGCTATAGCATTGTCATATAATTAATAACTTTAGATTATCAATTTAGAGATCTTCATGGGAAAAAGAAAAAACTGTGATTTTTATTTAGCAATTAAGTAATTTTTCCAAATAGTTATGTATTTATCTCTTTCAAAAAATATTTAGAAAAAAATTTAAATCTTCAATAATATAGCACTATTCTTGTATTTTAATTTTTGTTATATTTTTAAATTTTGGTAAAGCTTGACTTTGAATATTCTTTTCCATCTTTCTAGGTAAAATTTCCCTCTATTCAAGAAAGAAAGTCCCTTCCCCCATCCCCAGTCATTTTTAGTCTCATTTATATTAAAAATCCTAGGCCAAAATGGCCACCAACAGAGTTTTTACAACCAACAGAATTTTTAACTAGTAGAGGTTATAATTTGATAGGCTTTGGACATTCATTAATCTTGATTTTAAACTACTTAAAAAAGTACCCAGAACTTTGCAATTTGGGGACCGTATGTGGACCAAAAGAAACAAAAAAAAACAATACATCTTTTATGTTAAATTTTGCGCTTAGATTTCTTTGTGTGCGTTGTTAAACTGTGTTACAACTTGCTACCTTTTATTTTAACTAAAAGTTTAAGCAGAAAGCAAATGCAACCTTTTAGGACGAATTATATGAAAAATAAAATTTTTTATGTAATGTTGAAATGCCTTGAATTCACATTTCACAAAGAAAAATACTGGCTCTCAGGGAAATGGCGGGGAGCAGAGTTTCTGGCTTTCCTTTCTAGCCTGGGAAAGGCTTGTGACCAGAGGTTACTAGTAATTAACCTACCCTCAGTTAGGTCTTACCTGAACTAGTTAGATGCCAGAGTATATCATAGACCATAATTAAAAATACCATTTCATTTTGCCACTCAGTTTCCTCTCCTTACTTGGAAACATCAATTTAGAAATGTATTTTCACAATATGGAAATGAGATTTTTATATGAAACAAGAATGTTACTTTCTAAAGCATTCTATGCTGTACCGCAGAGTAGGTAACCTTAAATGTCAACTTTTAACTTTAAATTTAACGTTAGAATCATGTTTTATAGTCCAGAAGAAAGGAATAAAAAAGAATTTGATTGTGAGGCTATAGCTATACAAAAGTCTTTATCCTAGAATTGTGATGTAAGATAGGGTGGGTAACAATTTTGTAATTGTCTAATACTAAAATTGATTTTTTAAAAAATAAGTTAAAATGAGAGAGTTTCAAAAAGTCATCCTCAAGCTAGAATTTTTTCTTTTTATGGTGGGGAAAAAAAACCCTCTCTCTCTTAATAGGATATCCAATGGGAGTCCTAACTATCTATCTATCCTTAGCTATATAAACAGAACTGCAAAACCCACAGGAACCCCATTCACATGGTAGATATCAACTGATAGGTCTTTCGTGTGTGTGTGTGTGTGTGTGTGTGTGTGCGCGCGCGCGCGCGCATGTGTAAGAAAATGAAATTTGTTACATGCTGTATTTTAAATAACTCCAAAATACAGAGAGAACTAGGCCTCTATTTTGGAATTACTTAAATTAACTTTTTCTTTGTACCATTTTTTGAGGCCTGGCATACAGATTATCCTAAACTAACACTTTGATAAATTCATTTATTTTCGTATTTTAGTTCACTCTGCCAGCTTCCTTAAGAACCAGGAGTACTCTTATTTAAATTTGTAGTTTTTTGTTCCTCTCTTTATCTGGTGTCACTCTTTCAGTGTTTTGATTGGTTAAGTGTTGCTATTGAGATACTATATCTCTTTCAGATTTTCAGTTTAGTTTTCATTAAAAATACTCTTAGTACTAAAACACTCCTGAGGTGAATGTAATGGTGCTCTGATGATTCAGAAGGCACGTGACTGTTTTGTAGTACCTCAGGGTCATCTTTCCATTGTAGTACTATAAAATAAATCAGACTGCTTTATATTTAAAGTTCCTTGGTGTCTGAATAAAAAGAATTTTCTGAATAAGCATTGATAACTTTGTTTCTAATACTCCATCTGTGATAACAGATAGAAAATACATTTGAACTGTGACTAAAATTTGTAAAGATTTTTCAAATGGAAATTTTATGTGAATATTTTTATATTTATTTAAATACCATGTTCTTAAAGAATTTAGTGTCAACATTTTGCTAGTAATTTTTTACATCAGTCTTCACCTTGTTTTGAATTTAGTATAAAAAATAGTAATTACTACATTTACAGAGTAGGTCAACTAATTTTTTTTTGTTAATCTTTATTTCCACTGGCATGTTGGGCCACATTTTGCCAGAACTTATCATTGGAAGCAA